TTCTGGTTATTCCTAGTTCCAAAGACTGGCCACTTACCCCAGATCAATTTATCTCTCAGCTCTCATATCAAAGGCAATGCTTTTAGCCAATCCTTTAGTAAACTATGAAAGGATTAACTAAGAAAGAAATGACCTTAGCAAGTTAGAGAAATGGTCAGAGGTAAACAGGATGAGGTTTAATAAAGAGAAATGCAAAGTGCTCCACTTAGGAAGGAACAATCAGTTCCATACATACAAGATGGGAAGCGACGGTCTAGGAAGGAGCATGGCGGAAAGGGATCTAGGGGTCATAGTGGACCACAAGTTGAATATGAGTCAACAGTGTGATGCTGTTGCCAAAAAAGCAAATATGATTCTAGGTTGTATCAACAGGTGTGTTGTAAGCAAAACTCGTGAAGTCATTCTGCCGCTCTATTCTGCACTAGTTAGGCCTCAGCTGGAGTACTGTGTCCAGTTCTGGGCGCCACATTTCAAGAAAGATGTGGAGAAATTGGAAAGGGTACAGAGAAGAGCGACAAGAATGATTAAAGGTTTAGAGAACATGACCTATGAAGCCAGGCTTCATGAACTGGGCTTGTTTAGTTTGGAAAAAAGAAGATTAAGGGGGGACATGATAGCGGTTTTCAAATATCTAAAAGGGTGTCACAAGGAGGAAGGCGAAAATTTGTTCCTCTTGGTTTCTGAGGACAGGACAAGGAGTAATGGGCTTAAAGTGCAGCAGGGGAGGTTTAGATTGGACATTAGGAAAAAATTCCTAACTGTCAGGGTGGTCAAATATTGGAATAAATTGCCAAGGGAGGTGGTGGAATCTCCCTCTCTGGAGATATTTAAGAACAGGTTAGATAGACATCTGTCAGGGATGGTGTAGACGGAGCTTGATCCTGCCTTGAGGGCGGGGGGCTGGACTCGATGACCTCTCGAGGTCCCTTCCAGTCCTATTATTCTATGATTCTATGATTCTATGAGAGTGATATCACAGGGTTCAAGCAGGCAAGCATAGATACACAAATCAATTACAGTCAATGGCTCCAAAAGGATAATCTGTATAACACCAAATGTCTTTTAGGGCTAAGTGTAAAAAGATTCAGGCTGATCCTGGATCACTGCTTCTATCACATGCATCTGACGAAGTGGGTCTTTGCCCACGAAAGCTTATGCTCCTACACTTCAGTTAGTCTATAAGGTGCCACAGGACTCCTCGTCGCTTTTGCTTCTATTTGGACTCACAGGGCCAGAACTATCAAACAGCAAAAGAGATGAAAAATTTTCATGTCAGTTGTTTTTATTTCCTTCTTCCAGAACTTAAGCTTATGGGATGAGCTCTTTAGCACATAACCTCTTCATGGCATGACAGGGAAATTAACAAAGCCCTTGTATTGTGATGTCCCACGATGGCCTGTTT